GTAAATATTTAATGAGAACATTGAGAAATAAGAAATTGAGGAATTATATAGAGAAAATTAAAGATGATAATGGAGAAATGGTATACTCAACCACTGATATTGCTAATGCATTTAAGATACATTACAGGAAGCTATACATAGTAAATAAAAAAAATCTAAAAGAAAAGGAAGCAGAAATAACTAGAAAAAGACAGAGGTATTTAAAAGAGGTGGGATTACTGAGATTGGGAGAGTGATAGCATTTTTAGAAAAACTAATAACACAGGAGGAAATTCAGGAGGCACTTAAGGGCACAGTTGCTGGGAGGAGCCCTGGGCCAGACGGGTATACAGTGAGATATTACAAGAAATTCAAAGAACAACTAGTCCCTAAACTGAGTGTATATATGAATGCACTAGGAGATGAAATAGAAATGAGGGAGGAGTCATTGCAAGCACATATTACAATCATACTGGAAGAGGAGAAAGATAGGACCCAATGTGCTAGCTATAGGCCTATATTGCTATTAAATCTTGATATGAAACTATATGCAAAAGTTCTGGCAACTAGGTTGAAAGACTTAATGCCAGAATGGATTCATTTAGAACAAGTGGGATTTATCCCTGGGAGGGAGGGAAGGGATAATGGGCTAAGATCATTACTCCTCCTACAAAAATGTAAGACAGAAAAAAAAAACCTGTATTGGTTTTATTGATAGACATTGAGAAACCTTTCGATAGGGTAGATTGGGTATTTATGATGGATACACTGGAGGTTTTGGGAAATGGACCTAAAATCAGAAAGTAGATAGGAAAGCTTTATAGTCAACCTTCAGCAGAGGTAAAAGTCAATGGCTTGTTATCAGAGCTCTTTAAAATGTACAATGGGAAAAGACAGGGGTGTCTCCTTTTGCGCCTCTTGTTTGTCTTATCTTTAGAGCCTCTTCTGGTGACAGTACAAAATAGTCTGGGTGTAAAAGGGATACAGTTAGGAGAGATAGAACACAAAGTCATAGCATATGCCGATGACATGCTATTCTATGTGGTAAACCCTAGGCTGACACTACTCAATCAAATGAGAATAATTAAATATTATGGAGACTTATCAAATTTAAAAAGTAACCTGTCAAAATCAGAGATCTTAAATGTCCCCACAATAGAAAAAAAGGTTTTACAGAGAATATTTCTCTTTACATGGAGGGAAAAAGAACTAAAATACCTGGGAATAAAACTGACCTCGTCCTTGAAGAGCCTACTGTATATAAAATAAACTACATTCCATTAATAAACGAGATAAAAGACGAATTGAGGAGAATCTCTATAGGAACACTCTCTTGGATAGGACGAATAAATCTGGTAAAGGTCATAACAGTCCAGAAAATCCTATATAAATTTCATATGCTACCTATATATCTACTAGGAACTTATTTTAAAATAATTTAAAAAATGATATTGAGGTATATTTGGGGAAATAAAAAAACAAGAATAAGTTATGAAGTGCTGTGCAGAGATAAAGAAAACGGGGGTTTAAATGTACCAGACTTCAAGAGATATTACTCCGTATTAATGTCACATATTTTTGATTGGACATATAATGCACCAGGGAAAAGTTGGGTTAATATAGAAAACACATTAAGTGAGACACAATTAGATAGGATTGTTTGGTTGCCACATCAGTATCGTAAGTTGACTGAAAGCATGAGCACTTATACACGAAATGTAATTAGAGTATGGGAGGTAATTCACAAACAAATGGGATGGGAGTATAAATCCATGTTAATACCGATAGTGGGAACAGACTTCTTCCCACCAGGGAAGTGGTAAATGGATAAGAAAAGGGAATATAAAGTTAAAAGATATAATGAAAAAAGGAGAAATATGCTCCTTTCAGGAGTTAAAAATAAGAGGGAGGTGTTTTTTATGTCAGGTGAGTGGAGATATTTTCAATTAAGACACTTTGTTGCAATGCTCTCAAAACCACTAAGGACAATGGAGGACTTAAATCCATTTGAACAACTGTTTAGTGCAAGTGAGATACGAGATAAGGAAACATGGTACTTCTCGTATTTATAAAATCCTTACTGCAATAGCAGGATCTACTCCCCCAGCCATACGTGGAGAAGTGGGAAAGGGAACTTGGAATATCATTTAATGAGCAGCAAAAAAAAGAAAATATTTAGATAAACACATGGGGCTGTAGACATGAAGGTGGTGGAAATTAATTATAAAATGTTTAACTAGGTGGTATATTACACCTAGTGTGGCACAAAAGCAGCAAGCAGAGAAATCACCTACGTGTTGGAGGGGATGTGGAATTAAGGCTAATTTCACATGGAGGAGTTTTTGAAGCGTATTGGCATTAAAAAAGTGCCTGAAAAGCTCATGAAAAACGCTTCCCTATGTATGTGAATATGATTGATACCTAAATCCTGGCAGGCACAGGAGGCACCAAAAATAAAGGACTGGATAAATAGGGTGGATTATATACAGTGGGGCAAAAAAGTATTTAGTCAGCCACCAATTGCGCAAGTTCTCCCACTTAAAAAGATTAGAGGCCTGTAATTGGCATCATAGGTAGACCTCAACTATGAGAGACAAAATGAGAAAAAAAATCCAGACAATCACATTGGCTGATTTGGAAAGAATTTATTTGCAAATTATGGTGGAAAATAAGTATTTGGTCACCTACAAACAAGCAAGATTTGTGGCTCTCACAGACCTGTACCTTCTTCTTTAAGAGGCTCCTCTGTCCTGCACTCTCTACCTGTATCAATGGCACCTGTTTGAACTTGTTATCAGTATAAAAGACACCTGTCCACAACCTCAAACAGTCACACTCCAAACTCCACTATGGTGAAGACCAAAGAGCTGTCGAAGGACGCCAGAAACAAAATTGTAGACCTGCACCAGGCTAGGAAGACTGAATCTGCAATAGGCAAGCAGCTTGGTGTGAAGAAATCAACTGTGGGAGCAATAATTAGAAAATGTAAGACATACAAGACCACTGAATCTCCCTCGATCTGGGGCTCCACGCAAGATCTCACCCCGTGGGGTCAAAATGATCACAAGAATGGTGAGCAAAAATCCCAGGACCTAGTGAATGACCTGCAGAGAGCTGGGACCAACGTAACAAAGGCTACCATCAGTAACACACTACGCCGCCAGGGACTCAGATCCTGCAGTGCCAGACGTGTCCCCCTGCTTAAGCAACTACATGTCCGGACCCGTCTGAAGTTTGCTAGAGAGCATTTGGATGATCCAGAAGAGGAGATTGGGAGAATGTCATATGGTCAGATGAAACCAAAATAGAACTGTTTGGTAGAAACACAACTTGTCATGTTTGGAGGAGAGAGAATGCTGAGTTGCATCCAAAGAACACCATACCTACTGTGAAGCATGGTGGTGGCAACATCATGCTTTGGGGCTGTTTCTCCGCAAAGGGACCAGGACGACTGATCCATGTACAGGACAGAATGAATGGGGCCATGTATGATGAGATTTTGAGTGCAAACCTCCTTCCATCAGCAAGGGCAATGAAGATGAAACCTGGCTGGGTCTTCCAACATGACAATGATCCCAAACATACCACCCGGGCAACGAACGAGTGACTTCGTAAGAAGCATTTCAAGGCCCTGGAGTGGCCTAGCCAGTCTCCAGATCTCAACCCCATAGAAAACCTTTGGAGGGAGTTGAAAGTCCGTGTTGCCCAGCGACAGCCCCAAAACATCACTGCTCTAGAGGAGAGCTGCATGGAAGAATGGGCCAACATACCAGCAACAGTGTGTGCCAACCTTGTGAAGACTTACAGGAAACGTTTGACCTCTGTCATTGCCAACAAAGGATATATATATTATATAAGTGCATATACACATAAATTTTAAAGTTTTTTTTTTTTTCTCTCTTTCTTTCTTTCACAAGTGGTGTGCATGTACTCATTATATTTATTTTTGAATAAGGGTAATGCACTATATGCAGTTTTTCTGATTTTTTTGAGGTATCCGGAATTTTCTCAAGATTTGGAAATCTTTGTTGTGGAAACTTTGGACTATATTTGTTGTGGACATTTTGGACTTATTTTGGTCATTTATAGGAAGATTTATATTGTATTTGTAGAAAAGGTTTCATATATATTTTGCACTTTCAAGGGTGAAAGTTTAACCTTTCAGAGGGGGATTATAGTCAGAGTATTATTTACTATTTTGTCTCTCATAGTTGAGGTCTACCTATGATGCCAATTACAGGCCTCTCTCATCTTTTTAAGTGGGAGAACTTGCACAATTGGTGGCTGACTAAATACTTTTTTGCCCCACTGTATATAGGATGGAGGAACTTTACCACATTGTAGAAGATAAAGTGGAGACATTTAAAAAAAGATGGTAAAAATGGGATGAGTTTAAAAGATCAAATAGATATGTTGAACTGGTAGGAATAGAGACTGATGAGATAGGAATAGATAAAGATGAGAAGAGAGGACATGTCTAAAAAGGTAGGGAAATGGGAGGCAGGAGGAAATAAAGGAGGTGAAGGAAGTTCCGAGAGTAATAAAGGGAGAGGAGGAACAGGGAGATAAGGGGAAAATAAATGGGAGTTGATGGAAGAGGGGTGGATAGGGTGGGAGGGGAGGGTCTTGGAGGGAGAGTATGGGGAAAAATGTGAATAGGAAAAATGTTTTCTCTTGTAATGATGAAAAATGTGATAGTCTATTTTTGTAATGTTGTAACGTGGAAATCAATAAAATATTTATTAAAATAAATATATTATTGGGGCATATCAGTAATAGGAATAAAAAATAAAGTATTTTTTTTACTTTGCAAAGATAGTATTGTAAAAATAAACAATATTCATATAACATATTACTTTTTTTTTTGCAGGTATAAAATTGTGATTACACCAAGACGAATTTATATGTCCATCTGGTTTGTTTGGATATTGTCCTTTGTGGTTGGGCTGGTTCCAATGTTTGGATGGAATAAAAAGTCTAACTCAGACTACCTGGAATGCCAGTTCCTTAATGTTGTGAAGATGGACTACATGGTCTACTTTAATATTTTTGGATGGGTTTTTCTTCCTATGTTGGTTATTTTGGCTTTATATATTGAAGTGTTCTATCTAATCAGAAAACATATCAGAAAAAACATTTCAAATACTGGAAGCAGGGGACTCTTCTATGGCAAGGAATACAAAACTGCAAAATCCCTTGCCCTGGTTTTTTTGCTGTTTGCAATCAGCTGGTTGCCTTTGTCTATTCTTAATTGTTATATTTACTTTACTGAAGGCACTCAACGTTCCAATGCATTTAAGTGGTTCATATATATAGCCATACTGCTGTCCCATGCTAACTCAGCAATGAATCCCATTGTCTATGCTTTCAAAATAAAGAAATTTAAAGAATCATATTCCCAAATTATAAGAACATATATCCTGCACAAAGTGAGATTGACTGAAAGTTCGAGTGCGGAGCACACGTTGGATGACATATCTCAAGACTGTGTCGAATGACTATATGCTCTCTATCATTATTATTATACAGGATTTATATAGCGCCAACAGTTTGCGCAGTGCTTTACATAATGAAGGTAGACATAACAATTACAATACAATTTGGTACAAGAGGAAACAGAGGGCCCTGCTGTATCATACAATTATTTGTCAACTTTCTACAGTATAATTGGTATGACAGGGAATCTAAATTGTTATAGATATAAAGAAAGCTATAAAAATTGGGTATGCATTAATTTCTGATTAATCATTATAGACTGTGTTTATTATGTGATTGTATGTAAATATTATTTAGATTTTATTAGTTATTTTAACCTGTTTTTCCTAATGTTTTGACATAGTATGTTCTTCCAATTTTTTATTACTATACATACAGGGATATGTGGACCGGCTTCTAGAGACAAGTTATACTAGGAGATGCAATTACCCTGTTGTTGAAATGAGATTTTAGCTACCTATCCATTGTACTGTCTTCAGTGAGCCGGTGACACATAGACCCCCACTGTGAGAAACACTGATAAAGAACAACCACTCCAGGGGCATCCCTAGGGGTGGTGTCACCCAGTGCTATAACACTTGGTGACACCCCCTCCGACAATCCCCACAGAATGGATCGGATCTGAGGATTGAGCATAATGGATCGGACTCCGATCCATTACGCTCAATCCACAGATCCGATCCATCCTGCGGGATCGTCGGCTTGCTTTGCAACTTACCTTTTCGTGGAGCGGGTCTGGTGTCACCCCGTATAGGTTGCATGCCGACGGTCCCCACAAGATGGATCGGATCTATGGATTAAGCATAATGCATTGGAGTCCGATCCATTATGCTCCCCAATCCGCAGATCCAATCCATCCTGCGGGGAGCGTCGGCATGCAACCTATACAGGGTGACACCGGAACCGCTCTTCGAAAAGGTAAGTTGTAAAGCAAGCTGACAATCCCTGCAGGATGGAGCGGATCTGCAGAATGGGGAGCATAATGGATCGGACTCCGATCCATTATGCTCAATCCGCAGATCCAATCCATCCTGTGGAGATCGTCGGCTTGCTTTACAACTTACCTTTTTGTGGAGCGGGTCTGGAGTCACCCCGTGCGGTAGGTGTCACCCGGTGTGGTGCGCACCCCCGCACCTGCCTAGGGACGCCACTGAACCACTCTGTACCACTGAAAAACTGCAAACAGTCTTTGTATGTGTTATGCAAGCATTGCTGCCAAATATACATATTAAAATGATAAACTATACAAATAAACAAGAATTTTATATAATTACACACCGAAAACATTATTTACATTAATATAGCTTCATGTATATATAAAAGAAACACAGTGAAAAGACAATACATTTCTTTAAATACTGAACAGTTGTTGAAGTTGTTTTAAAAAAAAATCTGCATCCACCACTCTGTATTGTTTATTGCTATGGAAACATGTAATGCATCCAGATTTCTGCTTTAGGATACCTGTGAATAGTTATGTCACATATGATACATGTAATGTGATACATATGATTAAGTTCTCTTGTGGCTTTTTTATATACACAGAACCTTCATCCTAGAAGTGTGACTGCGCTTATATAAACAAATCCTTTTTAGCAGGGATATCAGTTTGTACATAAACCACATTCAGCAGTCAAAGAACAAACACACAGAGGAAAAAATAAAAAAAACATTTCACATATTAACCTTTATTAGACTACAAACTTAGTGCCCTGGACGTAATATAGTGTATTCTGAAGAGTGAAGGCAGGGGCCTAGGAAAATTATTGCAAGGAAAATGTTTTAGATTTTATAAATAGGTATGCAAAACATTCAAGTCCTAATGATGAATCTGTTTTGAATGTTTATTGTACATTTTATTTGGTTTCTATAGGTTCTTTGGTCTCCTGTGAAGGGGTTAAATGAGAGCTAATTTCATAAACTGCAAAATGGAGTTACCTAGTAAAGTTAAAGTGTTTGTAAAGGCAAAGCTTTTTTGTTTTGGATAGAGATGGGTAGGGTTTGACTCTCTGCAAAGTTTTTAGTGTAGTCTTTGTGTCCGTGTTGGATGATTCAACTCTACACACTTGGAATAGGGAATGATGAGATTTCCTCTCACTTCCTGTTGTGGGTTCAAGACAAGAAGAGTCTTACCCAGCAGGGTAAAGACAGCAAAAAATGACTTTATCTTGATCCAGCACTGTGCCCAGCTCCAGTGGCTCTCTCCACTCTCTCTGCTCACAGAGACAGCAGCGGTTCCTGCTGCTGTCAGTCAAATTCTGTGAGCAGGGGGCAGGGCCAAGCCGTGCTGTCTGTGTCTATGGACAAAGGTAGAGCGGCTCAAGATCAAGCTCACAGGTGGGCCCCCATAGGAAGCAGCTTGCTATGGGAGCATACTAAGAAGAGGAAGAGCAGAGAGCTTGGGGGACCAGAGATGAGACAATTTGTGGCCTCAAACCAAAAAATGTAAGCTTTACATTCACTTTAAGTTTAAACAGACCAAAAAAAAAAACTTTTCTAAGGTTTGACAAAAATATATTTGTAGAAAACCATGCCTGTGGCACAGCACCACTATATACCTCACTAGCCTTTACAGGAATACAGAAATAATAATCAGCAGAAAACTGTGGGATCAGTGTGGCAGTGTTCTTGGACACTGCTTCTCCATTGTAGTTCAAAGTTATATGGTTGTGGTCTAGAGACTGGAGTGGGGGTGCACATTAAATACAAGTCTTCACATCAACACTGCAGAGCCTTAGGCTGGCCATAGATTTATCTATCTTCAGATGTACTGAAGTCAATCTATCGCAACTCAGCCTGTCAGGTTTTTTTTATGCGATCACAGCTGGTGGCTATAACCACCAGCAGTGACCATTGTACTCTGACAGTGGGGAAACCTTTCACTGTCAGCATACAATAGCATAGTTGAAGGAAAGAAAATTGCTCGAAATCAAGCAATTTTCTTTCCTCCAACTTGTGGTTTAAGGAAAATTGCATAATCTATGGCTTGCTTTGAAGTTAAAGTACTAATCCTGATGAAAGTAATATTGTTTTTTTCAGCATAGATGGCAAACTGTTGTGAATGTAAGTGGAATTGTATAGACTGAGCATAATGTTGTGCCCAAAGATCAGCTTTGGATATAAGAACTACTAAACCTAATTACAGCGTATTTATTAATTGCATACCAAAAATGAACACGCCAAGGATCATTCAGTGCCCCCAATCATAGCAATGCTTGACACAAGAATAAAGGTGAATAAAGCACCTGGACCGGATGGCATACACCCACGGTTCCTTAAAGAATTGAGCTCTGTCATTTCAAAGTCATTGTTTCTAATTTTTAGGTGCCAATATTTAAAAAGGGGTAAAGATCTTTACCAAGTAATTATAGACCTGTTAGTTTAACTTCTATAGTTGCGAAGATACTGTAGAGTTTATTAAAAGACCACATAGATGAGTTCTTGTTATAAAAAAAATATTTTAAGCAACAGACAGCATGGATTCATGAAAGACAGAAGTTGTCAAACAAATCTGATTTCTTTTTATGAGGAGGTGAGCAAAACCTTGGACAGAGGGATGGTGGTGGACGTGGTATACTTGGATTTTGCAAAAGCGTTTGACATAGTTCCCCACACATGGCTAATGTGTAAGGTAAAGTCTACGGGCTTGGAAAAATCTGTATGTAAATGGCTAGAAAACTGGCTAAAATATCGTATTCAATGAGTAGGGGCTAATGATTCATACTCTGAATGGTCTGGGGTCATCAGTGGTGTTGGGATCCTTACTTTTTAATATATTCATAAACAATATAGGGTCTGGGATTAAAAATATCATTTCAGTCTTTGCAGATGACACCAAGCTGTGCAGTGGAATAATGTCCTTACAGGATGTCTTCAATTTACAATGTGGCAAATGAGGTTTAATGTTGATAAATGTAAGGTTATGCACTTGAGGGCTAAGAATATGCATGCATCATACATACTAGGGGGAGTACAACTGGGGGAATCAATGGTGGAGAAAGATCTGGAGGTTCTGGTAGATCACAAGCTTAATAATGGCATGCAATGCCAAGCTGTGGTTTCTAAAGCAAGCAAAATCTTCTCTTGTATTAAAACGAGGTATAGACTCTAGACAGAGAGATATCATATTACCCCTGTACAAATCATTAGTAACACCTCATCTGGAATATGCAGTTCAGTTTTGGGCACCAGTTCACAAAAAGAACATTGGGGAACTGGAGAAAGTACAGAGAAGGGCAATCAAACTGATAAGAGGCATGGAGGAGCTCAGCTATGAGGAAAGATTAGAGGAACTGAATTTATTCTCTCTTGAGAAGAGGAGATTAAGGGGGGATATGATCAACATGTATAAATACATCAGTGAACTCAGTTTAGAGCTATTCGCCCTGAGGTCATCACAGAGGACAAGGGGCACTCTTTATGTCTGGAGGAAAAGAAATTTAATCTCCAAACACGGAAAGGTTTCTTCACAGTGAAAGCTGTGAAAATGTGGAATAGACTCTCTCAACAGTTGGTTCTGGCCAGCTCAGTGGATTGCTTCAAAAAAGTCCTGGATTGTTTCTTAGATACACAGAATATAACTGGATACTAACATTTACAGGTAAAGTCATTTCAGAGAATATCCTATTGCCTCTCGGAGGATCAGGAAGGAATTTTTTTCCCCTGCAGGAGCAAATTGGATCATGTTTTGCTGGGTTTTTTTTTACCTTCTTCTGGATAAACTGTAGGTATAGGATTATAACTTTTTTTTTTTAATAGTTGAACTGGATGGACTTTTGTCTTTTTTCTGCCAGACGAACTATGTAACTATGTAACAAGTATAGCCTAGAAATGCCACTTCTAATGCTGTTTAATTTTGCAGATAGTGCTTGTTTCAGCAGCGAATGGATCCCTGAACAGATGTAAAACTGATTGGAAACAAGTGGGAGTATCCTGTTTCATTGCTTCATTATCTGCTGTGAGAAAAACCCCAAGCCTGACACATGAGGAGCATGTTCAAACA